CCAGAGCTCCTTAGTTTCATGAAGGAGGCTATCGCGCCAAACACGATGGAAACCATCTTTTTGCAAGACCGACAGCGTACGTCTAAGCCCTCTGTCACTTTAGAGCAGGTTTTCAAGTGCACCGTAAAACGGCACCGGAACAGTCTTAAAAAGCTGCTTATCGACAGCTCCGAGAAAAAAACTACAAATCTCATAGGAGTGCCTGGGCGTTGGAAGCATTGGGCGATAAGGGATGAGTTCTTATCTTATATCACTAGCGGTAGGATGGCAAGTTTGAGAGAATTGGGCATGGTGATTGATGTTAAAGACTGGGTAAGTATAAGCTTCATTAGCCATTGGCGCTTCGTATTGTTACCATCCGCTAATGCAATGAAACACAGCATACGTTTCTTCAGAAACTGCCTCAATTGGCCAATCTGCGCTCTCTCTACATTCCACAAATGCTTGATCGCCACTCTAGTTCGGCGCCACTGGCGAAAGAGCTGGCGCTCCAGATCGTAGATATCATCAGCCTGAGAAGAGAGATACGGCTCGCCTATGTGGGACTCTGGAACAAGTGCTTCGAAATCACAGAGCATAGCGACAGCGTCAACAATCGCTTCCAAGACGACGATGACCACGCCATATCCGTGGGTGATGCAGATCACATCGGCGGCAATAGTGAAGGCGATGACGACACCGAGGACGATGAAAACGATGATGGCAACGACTCTTTCCTGGACGCCGATGATTTCGTAGAGGAGACGTCTGATGATGGCGAATCAGAGGCAGATTCTTTTGTGGAAGCGGCAGCGGGTAAGCCACCGCCACGGCTGCGTCTACGTGAAATTCTTTACTACGACGACAAGGTGGAACTCTTTCGGGCACGACATGGGAAGTTATAGGCAATCGGCATCTTGCGGTCTGGAAGGCATCTCGCGCTAGACTACTGACGTGTTGAAGGATCCTCTTGGCGGCGTGGCCTCAATCCATTCGGGCTATCCTTGCTAGCCGGCAGTTTGGATTGGACCTAGGTACGGTACCCAGTTACCGGGACGGGTTTGTGGTGGATAAGATGCATCTTCCAAGGGAGCACTTGGCGAATTATCAGATATGGTACATAATCATGGATATTCCCCGACGCGTGATGAAGTGGGTAGGTAGGTATCCAGGACGAATGGGCGGGGTTGCATTGATGAGTAGTCGTTCTTCATATATGATGATACCTCTCACGTTGATTACACACGAATGCCAGGACATGTGACTGAGTGAAGTTGTCGTCCGTCTCACCTCTACCGGGAGGTAGTTCTCGTTACGTTAACCACCCCTTCCGTTGGGTAGCGACTTCAGAGATTCGGGGGCCGCCCGGGCTGCCGAGCCAACCTAGATGCTAGCGAGCTGGCGTACGACCAGGCACCCTTGGCGACCCAGGATGACGCAGGCGAATCACAGTGATTTACTCGCAGTACGTCGCATCTTCGTCCCAGCTCACCGAGAAACCACAGTGTCAAGCCGCCTCGTGGAATCTAATGCAGGTACTAATAGCGTCAGACCACAGTAGAAGACCCGGGCGGATGGACTGTGCAGCATTTCTCTCACCGTAACGTCCTCTTTTAGTTAGGTAGAGGCATGGGATTTCTGCAGGTGTGACACCACGCACACTCCCGCCTTACCGCTACTATACCGCTACTTTGGCGATTTCATTTCATTCTCCATTTCGTGGTTGTCTGTTGTCAGGCTCAGGCTGGATAGTCAGATCCATGCGAGGGCCCAGTCAGGCCAGTCGCCCGGCCAGTCATTCCACGAGAAAACTTCTACTCTGCCGCTGCCCGTAAGATACCAGCCTGTGCCTACGTGTGTCTCACTCTCACCGATACTTCCAGCTGTTTTTAACCTTTGTCCTAAACCGGAGAGGCTCGCTGCAGAACACACAAATGAACCTCTCTCCGCCCCTTCGTTAACAACGCCGCACAACCCCTTTCTACCCTCCGCTCGGGTCCTGGTACATATTTTTTTTATAGCTTTATATCGTTCTGTTTACTCGGGGGCAAAAAACCCTTTCTCCTATTTTATATGCGGCTGCCCCCAGTTTCCAGTGTTGGCGTTCCGTGTTCATTCAAACGCGAGTCTTCATCATCTGGCGGAGTTTAGCGGTTTGCTAGTCGTTTCGCCTTGTAATATTTTCCCATCCCGCCTTTCTGCCGTTTCAATCTGCCAGTCAGCAAAAACCCTCCCTTCCGCCTTCCCATGGATGCCCTACCTGTTGAGCTTCTCAGGCTCATCTACTCCTACTGTGATCCCGAATCAGTTCCCAATCTACGAGCGGTGAGCCCGACCCTGGCTGAGGTTGGCTATGAATACTTGTTATCGCCACATTTTACCTCGCTCAATTGGCGTGATGATATTGACCGGCTACACTGCATCGCACTCCACGAACGGATGAGAGGAAGCATCAAGTCGATCAACATCTTTCTTGGGGAGCTGTCTTACGGTGATGCATGGACTACTTCATGGTAGGAAGACCCCGATCTCCTCTTAATCGTCGTGCAGCTCTCGTTACATGGCACTCTTGCTGGAGTTTTCCCCAGGGGCCAACCCTGGAGATGAGGAGTCGGATCTGTAAACAATTCTCGTGTTATTAATCGAGACCTAGCTAATGTGATGTTAAGTAGGGCCCAGCACTTCGTAGCACCTCCGGTAGAACGTGCCGAGCTGATGGCACAGGCTCGAGTGGAATTCGAGAAGATTGCATTGGGGCGTAAGCAAGTCGGACCCCTCCATCTGAGGGCCGACGATCTCCGTGAGGCCTGCTCAGCTTTGCCCAATCTTAACGATCTTGAAGTTTCCTTTGCACGATGCCCATCCACGCTGAACAACAAGTGCATCCAAGAAGTCTTCTTCTACCCAAACTGCAGGAAGCTGGACCGACAGGAAACGTATCAGAACCTAGATGCAATCATGTTCGCTCTGCACGGGATCAAGCTCTCTTCGTTCAAGGTCGATCGGCTTCCGCTCGAGGTTTTTCGGATGGCGAACCATCGCTCACACTGGTTTACGCACGCCCAATCTTTCCATAGTCTGTCCAGCCTCAACTTAACTCTGGATCCCTCTGGCCTCCAAGGCCCAACGTCAGCATTTAGGGCTGTGAACGGATTGGGTCGCATACTTCAGCTCGCCTCTAATGTAACCCATCTTAAGCTCGCATTCCACCCCTATTCGAGCGAACACTCGAAATTTGCACTCTCCTTTCGGGAGCTACTCTTTGGTTTTACCTACGCGCGGCTAACAGACCTGATGTTAGAAGGTGTGTCGTGTGACGAGGATGATCTCAAGGAGTTCTTGGGCCGACACGGCGCTACTTTGGTTCGACTGCGACTGGGTGGCCGGGGGCTAGCCAAACCGTTCGAGGCATCGCATGGGGGTATTCATCTGTACGAAGGAACGTTTCGATCGCTCTTCACCGGCCTCCGCAAGAAGTTGCCGAAGCTGGAACGCATGCACCTCGAGGGCATATTCGATTGCGAGCATCAGGACCTCCCCACGCACGAGACCTATAATTTCTATCCCCTCAACGACGAGAATTGGGAAGCAGTCCCGACGCCTGGGTGGGTTCGATCATCACGCAACACCATCAGCTGTCTGCCCTTCGAGCAATACGTTCTCCGCGGCGGCGTCTATCCAGGCAAGAACCCGCAAGATGATTAATTATCGACTGGTCGATCATCTCTCTACGCCTACGACTACCGCATAGCACTCCGTAATAACTGAGAACTTGGATTGGAATCAACTTGGGTTACAAACCTATTCGATCATTAGCGCAACCAACCAACCATACTTTCTCGACTTTCTGTATCGAGAAACTCTTGCATCACAGGCCACTTAGTGGCCAGATGACCGGCGTTTGGTGCCTCTTTTTTTTGTTTTTTTTTTGTAGGAAGAACGCAACATGCGAGCAGTTTGACCACGGAACCCGCCTTGTCTCCACGCGAGACGCAACGGAGGCAAAATATTCACCAATGATTTACGACCACCCAACTCCATCTATAGACACAACTTCGCACAGAATTCCTCAGGGATTGGTGAGTATTTGGTAATACGGCGTTTGCAAAGGGAAATTACAGTTCTGCCAGAATGTCCATTTGGCTCCTCTCAGGGAGGAAAGACGAAAAAAAGAGTCCGAAGGGGTTTTCTATTCTTTTCTAGCATGTTTCTTAGAGGGATCATATGGCCACATTACGCGAGCATGGTTGACGAATAAGACCGAGTAACAAGCGCGCAAGGGCCTATAAATTGAACAGATTCTGCTTCTTTTTTTTATATAAAGGGGACGAATAGAGAAAAGGAGGAAGCTCGTGAGATTGAACAATTTGACTTTTAGGTCATCGCATTAGGCATTTAGCATAAAACTCGAATAGTATAGTTGTCAATAAACAGCTGTACTTTGCTTCTTACATTTTTTTTTTCTTTTTTTCTTTTTCTTTTTCTCTTCAATTATTGGTCTTTCTTTTGCTTCCAGAACATAGCTCCCGTGATCTCATATCATCATCTCCCAATACTACCATCCGCGGGCGGTGAGGTAAGCTTAGACAGTGAGGGGTGAGGCTCTACGGAGTCGCCGACGGAAATTGTTCAGCAAACCCTAGCGCTTCAAACCCCGCCGTTAGTCCCTCAAAGTTGTCAAACACGGAACGATTCGACGGGATTGGTCACCAGACAAGGAAAACTGTCGATCTGATGACTGTACAGCAGAAGTGCGTTTCCCCCGGAACCTGCCACCAGTAGGTATTGCCAGATGATCCGATAGGTTCGAGCGCTCTTGGACGGCATTTTCATTGCTCATGAGCGCAGCTCCTATTGGTATACCACCACCGCAAATCGAATGATTTCGGCTTACGGGCGGGGGCGTAGGGGTGCTTAGTAAAAGCCACCATACCCTAGGTATTACTGGGACCCGTTTCCCCGCACCGACGGGCTCACGATGCCTCAATATTTGTATCCATATCCGAGTCAAACACACACAAGGCAACGTGGCTGAGTGGTTAAAGCGTATGACTAGAATTCGTCTAGAATCCCTCTGGAAATCATATCCCTTCGGGGTCGTAGGTTCAAATCCTGCCGTTGTCGGAATCACCAACTGGTTAAAAGCGAGCTGGGTTTCTTCGGGTCATCCAATAGAAACAGCCTTGGTTCTGACCGTCCCTTTTTTTTTTCGATATTTTTCTCGCTAGCACAATGAAACATGGTCGGACAACATACATACACTACTTACTTACCTTGACAAGGATTCGAGGCTGAACAACAATGGCAAAATGGAGGGAGAAACAATGCACATGGGGTTCAGCTCCAGAACTGTAGCGGTCTAGTGCAGACTCACATACCCAGTTCCCTGGTAGCAGGCACTTAGAGGCGTGAACATGTAAAGTGCGATCCACCACACCTGCCCGTTGGATATGTGCATGTAGGTACATCAACAATTGAGGCAAACGATGCATACGTCTGTATGATACCGCAAGCGAGATAAACGAATTGATAATCTAAACCCGCCGACAGGCTAGGTAGGTAGGCAGGGAAGTATCTGTCAAACGAATATTCCGCGGATATTGTATGATATGATCCGCCTACCCATGGGAATCTCCTGTGACCGGGCATACACGAGATGCATCTTTTCACTACATTGTACAGCAGTAACGACAGAAAGCGCCATCTCTGGCCAAAGGAGACAGGGCGTCCGGGTACCCGAAATGGGTGAGGCAGGCGAGAGTAGGTAGGTATGTCATGTGCATTGGGAGGGGTTCTAGTCTAGTCTATGTACGCATTTGCTGATTGGGAAGAGGTGACATTGTAGACATCAGCTGTCGCACGGATAGGGATTGTGTTGGGTGTCATCCGTGGATACATGGCGTTCAGCCAGGGATTAGAGTTGCTGTGAACATTACGCTATTCAGCAAGAACAATAAGAACAATAACAAAGTCGGTGAGGCGTTGGGGTCCCGTCATTACCTGTCTCTTGCATGTTACCTACTGTCTATCAGACGGCGGTCAGGAAACAGAAGTTATGATTGTTGCACTATCTACGAGTAGATAGGTACCTGTTGCATTCCGGATAAGTTCAGGCCTCCTCCTCATAAAAACAAATTTAGCTTGGTGAGATATCATGTTGTCAGTTTACTTGGGTAGCATTTTCGTGCACGAGAAGCAGCACCAACGAATAGGATACGCAGGTGTTGTATGGCTGCCTGTCATGACTTGTTACACGGGTAAGTATAATTGCGTAAGATAAAGCTCGCTAGTCGGGATACTTAGTATGTAGGAAGAGGCTTGAACACTGGCGCACCAGGTATTACCAGGTGCTGTAGAATGCGAGAGAAAAGAAATCAAGGACATCCCGAGAAACTGTTCTCGATTCCCAACAGCGTGGGTGGCTGATGAGACAGAGGGCGCATCTTAGCGTTTTGGTGGACCCTTGGTTGTCGGTTCGGCGATGCATCATGCAATTCCGTTTATTTTTTCTTTTTTTCTTTTTGATAAATGCTCGTTATCTGTTAGTTACCGGGAATAGAATAGATGACCATCCGATCTGTGTGCAAAATGTGATAGATACTAATAAGATCGCAGCGGTAGGCACTAACATACCTACGAAAAAGTGACATCTCAGGACCATCTCTATCTTAGGTAATGTGCAATATGGACTGGATATAGCCTTCACGTTTTTAGGGTAGTTATATAGGCCCCCAATTAAGAAGAATTTACTTATAGAACAGTTTTACTGCAGAACAGCAGGCTGTTGCCGGGATGGCTGTGGTAATAGTGTAACAATACTACACTACAATGCAGAGAAAGCTTTGTTATTGTTGTCGCTGTTGCATCAACTTAGGCAGAGAGCTCGTTGCTTGGTTCACCGCCGCACTGCAACCATAATATGTAATAGCCCCCAATTGGGGGTGACATCGGACCTTGTATCTGCAGTAGCAGTGTTGCAGAGGATTCTGTTAGGTGTACCTAACCTACTGTATGCTTCGCTTGCTCCCTCAAGCCTCGTCCTACTCTTCTCTCCGTCCTTCGTGTCCCTCCACTACAGTACCTCCTTCAGTAATCCTGCAGGTAAGCATTGTGTGTAATACGATGTAGGTAGTGTAATGAGTAAACTGACGACCTAACCTAGGGTAATGTATCGATCCGGGCGTGTTGGCTCGATGTTGCAGGGGTAGCTATTCGAGCTGGGATTCTAGGTAGGGACCTTTTTTTTTTTTTGCCTTTGAAGTCATGACAACGAGATGCACACACAGACAGACAGACGGCCCCACCGAGTCATGGCGAAGTCGTAACGAGATGCAACTGACGTTCTCCCTTGTAAGCGATGTGTGCTGGCCAACCGGCTTGGCAGGGGAACATCCGTGTGGGATTTTGTATGTAGTCTGAAGAGCGAATAATAGGATCGAAGCCTCGACATCTGTAGTATGGTGCAGTGCAGTGTGATTGTATGTATAGAAGACGTCTATGATTGCATGTTGGAGAAGTGCATTGTCTGAGGCTACGAGTCAAGAGATGGGGGCTGAAAAGTGAAAGGACAGCAGCCATTCCTAGATGGTGCGTGTCCGCGTTTGTTTCTTGTGGACAAGGATTGCCTGCTCGCAAGTGTTGAGATGTGTTGAGATATCTTAGAGTAGGGAGGTATATTGACTCGGCCATGGAAGCACTGGAGTCGCGTTGTGTTTGACGGCGTCGATCTTGCACTACCTACTGTATGTATACTCCCAGAGGCGTTTGTCAAATACCTAGTTGCCAAGGTTCTTACTTGCTGTTATTTCTGCCATTGATATTTTCTTTTTGTCCGTTCTCTCTTCTCCCTATCTCTTGCCGTGAAAGATAGATAGATACCTACTTACATAGTACTACCTATGCATACTCCGTAGTACCATGTCCTATACTCAGTACAGTATACACATGAGGTGCACTACCAGCAGCAAGTAAGTTAGGTGCTAAAGTATGAGGCTAGTGTAAAGTGGCAGCCGAGGTGTGGTGGTGTCAAGCTTTTATGTGAGCCACGTCCTCATTACGAACACCCAACGCAGGATGCCATCTACTATGTACCTTGGGTTATACCTTGGGTTCGGTAGTCTCTGATGAAGAGCCTGGTTTCTGCCTCCCCGCAAGTATCAACGTGGTACAGGACAAGGCGAGACATTCGACACAACATTTTCCTAGTCTCACGCGAAGCTCGGGATGTCTCTGAGGTGGTTCGGTAGCAAGCAATGCTAGTGTACCATCCCACCACCATCTGCTCAGCCTGCAAAGAAGAAACCAGCAAGAGAAGAGGTGGCCTAACACGGCATCAGTTCTTTGGTCATTTCCGTCGTTCCCGCTTGTGGTCTCACCTTCCGCCTCGGACGGCCTGCCCTTTGACCAGGGGCGCCCCATCTGCATCTGCATCTGGATATTTATTTATATTTATTTATTCCCACGATCCACGGTTTCTCTGTAACAGAATCATGACATGTTCCTCCATTTCCAAGGAATGGCCGCCCCTCTCCGCACGCCACCCCCAAAGTAGCAAGGAGAGATGGTGAACCATCAAATATTGCCCCTGGCGCTAAGGCTATTGTAGTGGATGCTGTGCCGATAGGTCGTCGACACTAAAGTTTATATAGTCTTGGGTATTATCACCACCATCATCATCATGGTATGTCCTAGCCTGTAGCATCCCAATATGCGTTCACTCCGGCCCTAGTGTGTGTAGATTGTGCCGGTCTTGCGAATAGCTCTTAGTATACAAAAGAAGCAATCGTGATGGCAAGGTAGAGTAAGCTTCCGAATAACCGTGCTAGGTACCACTCAGAGTTGCAATGCCTGACAGATTCCCGGTATCGTACTACCTACAAAGTACTACCGGGCATATAGTGTACACTACTAGTGTAGTGTACCTAGTGCCTTGGATACAGTAGCGCGACATCTCGAGTGGGCTGTGCAGGTACTACCAGTGTACACAGACACCTACCTACAGTACCTACCTACTGGAGGTAACTCCAAGAATCTACAGGGGTGCGTGCGCCTGGACCTAGTGTACCTGTGCTACAGTACATACCATACAGTACCTCGTCCCCTGCTCTCCAGCTCCTACGCCTGGCGTACTTGGCCTGCATTTTGGCTGCCCCCCCGGCCCTAACAAGACCCAAAAAACGTCACTTTGACCTGCAGCCACCAGCACCCACGATCTGCGGACCATCCTTGCGTATCATCCATCCCCCCTCTGATCAAGGCCCATGGTCGATGGTTCTCATCTCATGATCTCGAGGTCGCAAGGTCATAAGCGAAACCTTGCTGCAGTGAATTCCTTCCCAGACCACATAGACCACCTAGGTAGACCACCTACCATTGTCCGTCGACTGTGTCGACACGTAATTAATCTAACTCGCCTCTCTCATTCCACTCAGCCCGGTCCCAAATAAGTTCCTGGATGGAATTCCGTGATTCCAGGACCAACTAGCGAACTCTCGGACGGCTCCAACAACCCGCAAGCGATTTGTCTACTGGACAACCTTCCGTCGCTAAGAGAGCGCGAGCGACCGCCGCCCGTCTTGCCTGCACCGGCGAACCGGCTCGATAGCAATGCAGCGTGTTTCGTCCCTACTCCCAAGCTGGGATCGTAATAGGTCCAGCGCCAGTAGTTTCACCAACGGCCATGCCCGCAAGAACAGCATCGAGAAGGTGCGCGGTTGGGCTGATAAAATCCCGTCGTCCCGTTCTTCCCGACTAGCCCGGGAGGCGTTCTGGCCTACGACGCTGGATAAAGAATGCGAAAAGGCTGCTCGCATATTGAAATCGTTCTGCAGTATGTTCGGCACCCTGCACTGCCGAGAATAACAGGCCTCGATGGCCGCAGCTTCAGCTGATACCTCGCTGACACTGATCAACAGGTGATGGTTTCTCAACACCCGACGACCGACCGGGAAGCCCCTTGACATCGTCGAGTACGCAGTCGTCGAGCAGAATATTGAAGAAGATCCCCCCGAGGTTAATACAAAATGCTGTTGGGCTTGCTGTTTTCACATCAATGCGATCGGGGCTATGGACCTCGGGCTCAGGAGGGAGCGGTATCTTGGTTGCGCGGAAGACAGATGGCACAT